AAGAGCTAGAAGTGCAGCGTGAGGCTCCTGACCCTCACACCCTGCCCGGTGTGCCTGACTGCTGACCCCGCGTAGCTTTTCCCCCTTCTTGGCTTCTGCAGATGGTGATGTAGTGTCCCTGTTCTGTGGTCCCTGACTCATGCTCTTCTTGCATTAGACTCCGGCAAAATCTCTCTGTGGAGGAAACCAACAGGACAAAGCCTAAAAGGAAGCTGGTTGTTGTCTTTTAAAAACAGGTTTGTTTGGGTACAAGGAATAGTGTTCCAGTTGCTGCTCCCTCCTCTCCCAGAGCCTTCTTGCAGATGTGTTTAGTGGCACCTGCTCTCTTCATTTTTTGAAAGGGCTGGAAGAGGGCAAAGCACATTGTCCAGAAGGAACCCAGTCTCTTGGATGGAGACAGCTCTGTCCAGCCTCTCTCTCACCACTGCCATATTCCCGCCTGCTGGTTCTTCATGGTCTCTGGCACAGGCTGGGAGCCCTCACTGCCTCTGGAGGGGTGTTATTAGTCCTGTGGTTTGGCTCTGCCTCTTTCCCTCCTCCTCTCCCTTTCTGAAGTCTGTGTCTTTGCCATTACAGCCAGAACTAACATGCCATCTAAGGGGATGATCAGTGTAGTCTCAGATCTTCTGGGAAGAAAAACTGCCTCCATCACTTCCTATTTCAAGAAGTAGTGTCCCTTTTCAAGGGCACTGGTGGTCGAAGGGGACAGGATAGAAATTAGGTGCTGGATTGATCTTGGAACCCACATCTTTGAAAGTCAATTGTAACCAAATTATTTTTTGTATAATCAAAGAAACAGGGATATAATCTGAGAGAGAAGGTCAAAAAGCAAAACAAAACAACACTCCAGATTCCCCACCACCTTTTTTTTTTTTGGTCTTTAGAATAGAATATAAGTGTTATTTAGAAATTTTGCTTTGGAACCAGTGAGATTTCCAAAGTTTCTGGACTTAGGTTTCTTGCATTGAGGGCTTAAAGCTCTTGGTGTTCAGAGTCTCTTAGGAAAGGTGATAATGAAGTGTCACGGCTGCTGCTGGTTGGATTTGTTCTTTACCAGGCCTGCGTGTCCCTAGTGACAGCCTCTTCCTCTCTGTGAGCCCAGGCATGCTGCAGGTGCGGCAGCCAGTGTCACCAGAGCGGCAGGGCCTCCAGCAGAGGAGGGACCACTGCGGTCGTTTGTACTTCCTTCTTTCTTACTCCTTGTGTCAAGCCTGTTACTGCCTTAGAATTTTGAGTAATAATTAGATTTATTTATTACTTTATTTATTTATTTTTAAGCACATTTCATTTTGCCTTTGAGACAGTTTCCATCTGTTTCTCAGAAGGCTTCCATCTGCGCTGAGCCATTGAGGCCACCTCTCCTGTGGAGTTAAAGATGATTTTAGGAGAAGTCGGGAATAATGTTCCATTCATGCAGGTCAGTTCTGTGATGCTTTGGGAGGAATCTGTCCCTTCTGAGATGGATGGATGATGCCAACTCAACCCAGCACTTCCTGTGAGGAATTCTAGGTTGTGAGGGAATCTGCCCAGGACTGAGTGCTGAGAACTAGCCAACCGGAGAACTCCTGTGATTCCAGGATTTCAAAGTCCTTTGCTCACTCTGAGGAGTCACCCTCTTCCTGATGTTTCCTTTGGTTCATTCTTTCCTTATGTGGGTACCGCATACCAAGCCTCCCCTCCATACAGGAGCAGAAACTCAAAGAACAGGGCTCCTGGCAATGGATCTGTGGTAGCATCTACGTCATGACCAAAGGGCGGTACAGCTGTACCTCCTATTCCTCTGGGAGCAAAGCCCCAAGTAGGATAGGATGCTATGGACTGCCATAGCATCGCCATCCACTGAGCGGCATCATACCTCCATTTATTTTATATTTGAGTGCATTTTGTAGAGGATTACACCGGTCCAAATTTATGTACCTTGTAAGAAGTTAGAAATTATTTGAGTGACTGTCTGTTGGGGCAGTGAAAGCAAACTTGCTGTGCCTCATCCCATCAGGTAGCTGCGTGACTGCTCTTTTCATCACCGAAGTTGAATCATGCCTTAGCTAACTGAATAGATTCTTTATAAAATAATTTTCTACCGAGCTGTCCTCCAGTCAGCTAAAGCCTGGCTTGTTTTTCCTTTTTATTATTAACTTATGACTTTCTCATAAAATGGAGCTATCAGGCCATTGCCAGCTCCCTGGAATGACACTATTTTTGCCATGAGAGTCTCTGTACTTATTTTCTTTGCAATCCTAGTTTTGTTGCATCAGGGAAACCTGAGGGACTTGTTCCCATCACCTCTGTGTGCCTCGTATTGTCCAGTCACTTGTGAAGTCTTGGACTGTGTTACATTTCATTCTGTACTGGTGTTTCATTAACAGTGCTTCTTTGATCCATTCACAAAAAAAAGATACTTTCACTGTCTAATCAATTCATTGTCCTATATTAAATAACTGAAATTATTAAACTCTAGGGACAAAATATTATTTACTGAAGCACAGGTAATTACTGCGAATTTCATAGCCCAGCAAATCCTAAGAAGTAGCTACTTCCTTAGTTTCTTCCTGTCTAAGTTTACAGAACCAAACAATGAGATGAAAATCACTTGCTTTCACTCCCACCCTGTTCTTTAGAGCACAAATAAATATTAATATACAATGGGAAGAAAGCACTTCATAGTAGGCAAGAGACTGGGGTTCTCTACACTGAGTGGCTGAGTTGTTAAGTTTCTTCAGTATGTTTAGTTTTCTTAATTTGTTGAGAGATGGGGCTTTAAAAAATTTAAAGGGTTTATTTTTCCCAGCATCTTATTTTGAAAATTTTTCAGCAAACAGAAAACTTAAAAGAAGTATATAGTGAACACCCTTATGCATACCCATCACATAGATTTTAAAATTATAAACCTGATTTTTAAAACAAGGATGATTCTAGTATTCTGTTCCTTTTGACAAGTGTCCAATTAGAGTGTGTTCCCTGCACAGACATTGGCTCTCCTCGGTCAGAGAGCTCCTGATTTTTCAGTGGACTTGCTTCCTTCAGCATCAGTTACTTGGGGAGGTGGTCCTCATAAAAATGTGTCTTGGTCTTCATTTTTCAAAACTCATGCTGTAGTCCCCTCTCCCTCAGGCCATAATTTCTAATGTTTGCTTCTCTACCTGGCATGTTGGAGTGAGGGTAATTGTGAAACTGCTCTGGAAGGACTTTATTCTAATCTCTGTTGCTTTACGACACATCCTCAGGACTCTGAAATTAAAACTCAGTTCTCAAATAATATGTAGCTTTAAAATTGAAGTAAGTAGCAACTTGAAATTAGGCCATTGTTAGTTATTTTTTTCTTAATTGATTCATGCACCTTAAAAATATTTTTATCTGTTATTTAGGAAAGAAAATCTTAGACTTTTTAAGAGTATATATTGTCCCTTATAATATATATATGGAAGAGATCAATCTGAAAGCTCACTTTTATTAATCATTGGGTTTGGTATTATTGTAAAACATCATTTATAGAAAATATCTAAGCTATCTGTTTTTGATGAGCCCTATCCAGGCCCTCTTTGAAAGAATTAGGTGAGCCCCAAAACCTAAAATCTGTATTTTTATATTTGTTTTTCAAGACCACTTTTCTGCGAAAGGTTGCAAAGACTGTTGTTTTCAAGGAAGGGACATGAGTGAAACAGTTTCATGCAGCTTGAGAATTGCCTTTTAAAAAGGTTAGTAAGGAATGAAAACAGTAAAATGAGAGGAAGAGAGAAAAGCTATCAAATGTATCCCAGAATTTTGCTCGTATCCTGATTTTGTGTAGTTCCTTAGTTCACATTTCATTGGTTGGAATTGTTCCTTAGGCCAGAAGCCTCACTGGTCCTCCCTGTGCTTGTTGGAGAAATCCCAAACCCACTTTGCTGTCTTTCCCAACAGCTAAGACTTTAGAAATATTTTTGAGTAGGTCTCCTCTGCTAAGTGTGATCCTGACCTAAGGATTGATTTCATCTCTGTGTTCTCTGGGATTTGCAAGTCTGGTGCCATGAAAAAAAGATGGTGAGTTTAGAAAGAGGCCAGGAGGAGTGCCAGCTGTGTCTCTGTAGCCTCGGTTGTGACTGTGGCCAAAAAGGGATGAAACAGGTTAGTTTTGCCCAACATCACAAGAGTGTCTTTGTGAACAAGCTGTGCCCTCTGTAGGCTGACCTTCCTGTGAGGTGTAAGAATCACCATCTTTTTCAGTCTTTTTTAGCAGTAAATGGAGCTAACCAAACGGACAGTTTGGTCTTCCTTTTAGAGACTTCCATTTAGAATTTCTCCTGGGTCTAAAAGGTCCACATCAACCTTTTTAACTAGTCTCTTTCCACCTGGTCAAAAGTGTAGACCTCTTAGAAACCTGAATCTGCTAGAAAAGGGAAGAGCACCATCCCTATAGAATCTCAGTGGTTGAGAAGAGTTGGAAAGTGAGTTTCTGTCTGAAGGAAGGTGATTTCATTTTTTGTTGTTGTGAGGGGCAGCTTGTTAAGGGATACATGCTCTTTAAAAAGCCCATCATTGTATTCATTGTATTTGATTGTGCTCAGAGAGCCAGGATACATGATTCTTTGGGGAGTAAGTAGGGAATAGTTGTCTAAAACCAATCACAAGTTGGGTGCTTTCCAGCAACCCAGTATATGGCGAATATCCATATGGCCAAAGTCCCAATTTTCATGCACACGGGATCCTATCTCTAGGCCCTCATTTCTCCACAGCTGAGAGACAAAGAGAGGGACTAGGCCCTCTCCATTTCTCTCTGATGTCTTGATTATTTATGGTATTGTTTAGCACCGGCACCATGATATCCAAGGCCTCAGTTTACCTGATTAACCAGAATTAAATAGTGTGAGTTGAGCAGATCAGGCAATCGACCTTAGTTGGAAGTAGGGCTGGGGAGGGATTATGACTTACAGTCCCAAATTGGGATAGCTAGGTAACTCATGTATGACTGTGCAGTTGGAACTCTTTCTTAACTTTACCGAGCAAGTCAAGAGGATGTGACAGTGCTGTGCTGATGAGGACGACAAATTAATTGAGTTGGCTAATGAATAGAGGCAAGCCCTCCCTCTGTGGGAACCAGATTCTGTCACTGGCTCTGTGTCATTTCAGTGTGAGCTCGCAGCTCCACAGCGTCTCACAGTCTGGGTTCAGAGCCCACTAAAGGAGCCAGTCTTCTGTGGGCAGTCACTTTGGCCTTCTGCAAAGGAGAACCCCCAGGGGGCTGGTTCCTGATGGCCTCTTATTTGGGAATGGGGTGGGGGGGTCAAGAGCTTGCTTTGGCTCTCTTGGTACCTGGCTATGGTCAGTGTCACCCCTTTGCTCTGTCCAGCCAGCCCAGCACCTGTGGGCACTCCTTTGAACATCTACCAGTTATTTAGGTGGCGAGGTTAGGGCAGGATTTGGGACCCAAAGGGTGAGAACCTTGCTAAATATTGTGTGGCCAGATTTCAGAAATCACTGCTCCCTTTGGGGTGTTGCATTGTCTCTGCCTGAACCAAGAAGGCCAGACAAAGCCCCTCTTGTTTGAATGTCTTGTCATCAACCTAGGAGAACCCAATTTAATTGCCTAAAGCCTTGATAGTGGGGTTCATTAACAAATAATCATTCCCTCAAAAATGAAGTCCAAAGGTATGAGACTCTGCCTATGAATTTATTTGTAGTCCTAGTCACTGGCTTGAACTGATGATCAGATCTCTATTATATGTACTTTAATTTCTTTCAGGCCCCCAGGCATGTGGACCAGAGTTAATTTCATGGCTCTTCTTTACTCTTAAGAGATGAGGAAAAGGTGCCCCAGAAATCTAGAGATAGAGGCTTAAAAAAAATAAATTCCACAGTTTTCTGTCATTTTAAGCAGATAGTTTTGACTTATCCAGGGCTAAAATAATGTACATGAAATGATTTCCAGGGGACAAAGTATATTTCCTAAAATTTCTGATATAGGGTCATAAACAATTGTAAAGTTTTGGTTTGAAATATTATAGTATATGGGATTACAGAAGAGCCCTTAACTCAACTCGTTTCCTGACTCAGGTTTGAAATGCCTTGTCTGTAATGTTACCTGAGATTGATTGTTATTGTTGGTTTTTAGGTTCAGGCAAGAATCACCTGGAAAACATTATCCTAATTCCTTCACTCATGTCCTAAGTGGTACATTTTACTAAGGAATTTTGTATTGAAAGCTCCACTGACATCCCTTTCTGAGATTATTGTCCCATAAATGAATTTGTTTTTATTTAATCAAGTTGAACTATTTCTATTTAGCTATGGTCAAGAGCAAGTAAAGTCTGGAGAAAGCAATTCAGTAACTCATGACTCCAGTTTGCTCATTTCTCTTAATAATGGGAAGTGCTTTGAAATTCACAAAAGAAAACTGTTTTGTTGGATGGATTATAAGAAAATGGTGGACTATAAGAAAGCCAGACTTTGGGTAAAGGTAATCGGAATAGAGGAGGTGCTTGAAGCTTTCCTAAACTACCTTATACTGTTTATCTTATGTTTCTGAAAGGCCTGCTTTGGTGCCATGCACTGAGATCTGTCAGTTGACTGAAAGATGATCACGCTTTCTTGGTCAATATTTAAGCAATTGGCAACCACAAAGGCGTTCTTTCCTTATTGTTCTATATCATGCACTGATGCTGACATTACCAAAAGGGGTCTGGAAGGGAAACGGTGTCACAGTCTTTTCTATTTAAAATACAAATTATCCCAACCAATCATTTATTGCAGTCAACTTATTTTACATATTCCCTATCAAGAGAAATGCTGTCAGCATCTCGTATGATTTCTAAGAGCTGTAAACCAAATTGTTATTTGTTATGTCCTGCTGAGTGGTTTTTCCTTTAAAATACCATATTTTACCAGCCTGTGGCACTGAATGTGTTGCTGTGATACACAGATGATCCTGAGCTATGGTTCTTGAAATAGCTCAGTTCTTGTGTTTTTATATTATGTAACAGTTTTGTGATGCTCTTGTGCATTCTTTGTCTTCTCTTCCAGGTTTTGAAATCTGTCATAAATAAACTTTTTCACTATGCACCTGAGGCATTTGCATTATATCTTAATGAACCTGACTTTCACTTTAAATTTTCTATTCATCCCTCTTCTGCATCTTTAGAGGAAAAGTATGCTTTAAATCTATATGAATTACTTTATAATTTCTTATTATAATAAAACTTAATAAAATATTGAGAATGAGATTAATGATAGATCTTTCATCTGCATTTAAATTTATGGCAGAGTATGAACTGGGATCTGGGTTTGGCCCAAGAGCAGAAAAACTGGGTTAAGAGTGATGATTACTAAAAAGAACATTATTGAGTTTTGTCAGTATTTGGTCCTCAGGGATGTTCATTTTTCCAGTGGACTGACTTACTCTGTTCAAATATGGAATCAGTACTCTGGACACCACGGTGATCATTTAACATAGTCTGAGTAATATTAATTCAGCCTAATTTCATTTACAGAAATGACACCGTAAGATATCTTTGGAATCTCTTAAAATGATGCTTCTGCACATTCTGGTACCTATTACAGAATGGGAAGGACTCACATCTGAGCAGAGAGGGGCATCATTTAAGTATCTTTTTCAGTGATATCTGTGGTCCTAAGATGAGCCTGTTAGATCTTTCTCTGCTTTCCTGTGCAACATATTTTAGAGGCTTATATATAAAGGAGGAAGAGATCTGAACTACTTAGGAGTTAAATGAATATAATCTTCCCACAAACTACACCACAAGGAACAGTGAAAAGCCCAGGCAGACTGCACATAGCGAGGGATTAATCAGTTGTGTGTTTCAGTACGCTGCCTGGAGTGTCACTAACATGTAACATATTGGAGATTATTTTCTAATTTTCAGAGACACTCATATCTGTCACATCACTGACCCTGACATAGTTCAGGATCATATAAATGTGTGCCGCTCACACACTGCAGCTCCTGACACTCAGCCTGATGTCCTTTAACCCGTGAGGTTCTGGCCACACTCGGCAGCCATCCTAGTTCAGATATTCTCCCAAAGTGGGATGATGCCTGCTTATGACCTTGGATTTAAGAGCTAGATGAATTATGTTTAAACGTTAGGAGGGGCCCATAGAATGAATACTTATGAATATGTATATCCCACTGCTTGTCCAGTAAGTTTACTACTCTCCGTAACAGTTTTGTAAAATTGCTTTCGAACAAAGTCATACATATTTTGCTTTGTTCTCAAAGATACTTCCTGGCAGCACCCCCTTCCTGCTTTCATCCTTCTAAAGTATTTGCCAGGCCTGACTACTTCCACAGAATCGGAAGGTCCTCCACATCCTATTACCAGCATCAGGCCGCTCCAATATCTGTTCTTCATCCGCTGTGGCCACTCCCACTGTGGGAAGATCGGGTGTCTCTGTGGCCCCTAGCATCTCAGGATCAGGTGTCTGCAAATTGTTCTTCACAGATCTAACAACTGATGTTGCAGTGAAGAAGGCCTTGACTTTTACCTTTCGCTCAGCCTTTGGGGAGAAACCCCTCCTGGAAAATACCCCCTGAACAGGTGATGGTTTTTGGCTTGGGAGATACACCTGACCCCTAAAAGTAAGAATTTATTTGCAGGTTTGAGGGAGTCACAGAGGGAGTAGTTTTCAAAACCCTTTATAGAAGCTTAATTATTGCTAAGCCTCTAAGCCATTAGTCTGACCTCTAGAGAAAACTTTATGCACTTGGGGGAATATTTGCTCCTTCATGATCTTCCAAGGTCCCCAGAAGAGGAGAGAGACATTCAAGGAGGGAGAGGGTAAGTCAGCTACGGCTGTACAGGAAGGACAACTTTCGATTTAACATGCATTTATGGAGCAGGGCTAGTCACCCTGCTTGGTACTGGGGCAACAGAGGCAGGTCAGGAGTGAAGCCCCAGAGGAGCCTGAGGGAGCTCTGCTCTCAGGGAAGAAGATGTAGAAATGCTGCATTCTCTTCCTCTCTAGAGCCCAGCTAAGCTCCTCTGGGAATAGAGAAGAGGCTTCTTTTCTCTCCCATGTATCCGGCCCCATGTCCCCAGAGGACGGTTCTCTCTGGGGAGGGGCTGAAGCCGGCCAGCTCTCAGGTCTCCACATTCCTGAGCAGCAGGACAGCTGCCCATGTTGGTGACCTGGACTCCATGGAGGCTCAGGGCTGGAACACACGATAGCCTCTCTGATGTGAAACCACAGGCCTAGAGACCCACAGACTGCTCTCCTCTCTCACAAGTTGTGGTTATTCAGTGAGGCCATAGTCCTTCCTGAACCCACTGACACCACCTGCCCCACCCCCTGCCGCCAACACACACACTCCTTTTCCTTCCCTCAGCTGATCCTGAGCTGTGGCTCCCCAGGGCCTGCCTTCTCTCTGCTGCCCTCCCCATTCCATATCCTCAGTTCCCCCCACCTCTACTGCCTCGGTCCCAGAAGCCGAGAGGAGACTCCAGGCCCTTGAGAGCTGAGCTGGTCCTGGGTTGGTCCTCTCCTTGGTTCCAGGTGAAGAAGGTGGCAAGGATGGTTCCCAGCCCCAGCCTGGAGACCAGCTTATGTTGCTACAGACTGTGTGGAGAGCTCCTATGGCCTAGGGTCTAGCTTTAAAAAGCAAAAATCTTCACAAAAACATCTTGAGACAAGGAGATGGGCTACAATTCTCCTCCAGCCAGGGCAACTGAGAACCACAGAGGTTAGTCAGCCACAGCTCAGGGTGGCTCAGGGAGTGGATGTGAGGGTGCTTGAAGAACCCAGCACTTTCAAGGCGAGTCACCTCGAAGGAGCCTGGAGTGAGTTTCTCTGGCTTAGACACATCTGCTTTTGTTGGGAAGGGCAGGTTTCTCAGGGTTTGGGGGAAACCAGATGACAAAGGAGGGCCTTAGAAATGTCACAGACTCCGAGGGTGACTGCTGAGCCCTGAGGAAAAGCCACAGCGTTTGTCTCTGTACCCTACCCCCCACCCCAAGCTGGTTTTCACCTCACATTTGACACGTATCAGAAAACTGTTGAACTAGAGGACTGGAACTATGAGAAAAATATTAAAATGACTTTCTGCATTAGATGAGGCTAAAATCCATTCAGCTTTTGCTCCCACTTTTAGGATGGCTGGTGGAGCCCCAGGTTAGACACGTTAATATTTGGATACTGTTCAGGAGGAGACTTGAATCGTGTCAACTCTTGGACATCATCTCGGATCAGACAGACAAGCAGAGAGGCAACAGACCCACGATGTTGAGTGGTGGAGTTCGAGACGGCCAGGTGAATTTCCAGGAATAAGTGGAGGGACACAAACTCAGTAAGAGTAGGGGCCACGTCTGCCATATCCCCAGTCACACAGCCACACCCCAGCTGCCAGCCCATGGGAGTCCCCTGGGAGGGCTCGCCGCAGGCTGGCGGACAGTGTGGAGGGAAGTGGGAAATCCACCACCGGCTGGAGCAGGACAGCCACCGGATAGTTTCCTTCTAGGAAGAAGCCCCGTTCACCCCCTCATTACACCTAGTTCCCTGCAGAATCATTCAGGGCTGGGGAGTGGTCTCAGGTTACCTAGGCACATGTTCCTTGTCCTAGATGTGGAGTCTATCTAGTGCCCTCACCTCCCAGAAGTCTCTTGGGCTTCTCTGTTGCCTGGAAACGAGATTGAGAGGAGGAAGGGGTGGGGGGACCTAGTAACCTCAGCAGTGCTGGAAATCATTTTGGATTATTTGGGCTCCCAAAGGCACCTGTTGGTGAGAGGCAGAGCCAGCTGCCTCCTTAACTGGGAAAGTGGTGGCAGCACCCCCATCTGGCCAAACCTAGCCCCTGCAGCTTGCCTGCTGCTGCCCGCTGATCCCACTGTCCCTCTAGGGCCGGGGAGCACACTACCTGGGAGGTGTAGGAGCATGGCCTGAAGTAGGGGGCTGCCCTCCTTCCTCCTGTGTTCATTCACTCTTTAAAATCCACAGGATCTTTAATCACCTTCAATTTCAAAAGTCCAAGTCAGGTGACCGTTACTGATCCCTGAGCTAAAGAGATTGGTCTCTTATCTCAAGTAAAGGTCTCTTGGAGAAAACCCAGGTGAGCCCTATGCAGCCTGACACGTCTGGAGTAATCTGAGGAAAGGGTCCAGATGGCAGCAGGGCAGGACAGGAGGCCCCACGGTCTCCCTCACCACTGCTGCGTCTCCTCTACCATCCTGTGCTTCTCTCCGGCTCGGCCGCCTAGGGAACAACAGTGGCCCACTTTGGTCTTTCTAGAGCCTGGAACCTAGGTCCTCTAAGAGAGGAGGAGAGGCCACAGAGGAGCCCATGTGCCAAGGATGAGAGGGGAGAACTGAATGCTCTGGGACTGGGGCTAGAGAAAAGGGACTCATGGCTGAGGAATATGGTTCCCATTTGAACCAGACATATATCTTCATTCCTTGTTTAAACTCAGCCATGCAGGGAAATGAAACCTCAGGTATGGGACAGAAAATTCATCTTATTTCACTCCCAGAAGGGGCCCCAGTCTCCTTACAATACCTCTGCCAAGAGGTGACCCTGGTTCTGGCTGAACACTGCCAGGCATGGGAACTTGCTCCCATCCAGGGCAGTCCAAGGTAAACTGTCACCTGGCTGGTCTCCCAAGCCAGCCTGGTCAGTTCACACTGCCCACAGAGGAGCCTGCCTCCAGTTCCTAGGACCAACCACGACTGGATTTATCCTGAGTACCTAATCCTGGGACTGGTCCGGAGAGTGCTGCTCCTGAAGATGAGGGACTGGGTTGAGAGGGTCAATGACCCCCTTAGTGCTGCAGTGGAACTTAGGTACTTACTATTCCTTGCCCAGGGAATGCAGATGGTCAAGGATGCTTTCTTTCCTGATTCTCATACCTGTTCTCTTCTGAGTCTTGGCTGATTCTCTCAGGCAGGCTTTTGGGATTATTTCTCTTCCTTGCCCTTAGGTTCTAGGGCCCAGGCCAACCAGAGGGTGGGCAAGTGGCTGGCTGACTTCCTCCCCTCTCTTCCAGACACAGGGGGATTCCAGCTAGGAAGAGTGTTCATATTCTGGAACCCAGCTCAGCCTTAACTGAACAACCTGGAGGCATGGGCTTTAGTTTAATTATCAAATTTCAGAGTGGGCATTCTTTGGAGTTGGGTACAGTCGAGGGGATGGGAAGAGGTGCTTCCTTATGGCTCCCTGGGAAACTTGCCAGACATTTCTGTCTGCACTCACTTCATCTTCACGACTGCCCCGTGACACAGATAGTAGGCAATGTTCCTGCCTACCCCCGTCCGGGCATCCTCCCACCCCACCCCACTCATACTTGACAGATGAGGGGGCTGTGGCAGAGCAAGGTTGGGTGGGAAAGCAGATTCAGGGCTACAGTTCAAATTCAAGGGCTAGGAGTTCAAGTCTCCTGGCTCTCCAGTGGAGGGCTCACTTGTTTCCAGGCCTATTCAGCCCACCCAGCTTCCGCTCCTGCACCCCCTCCCTGCCCCTGCACCAGCAGGGCGCAGTTTGACAACTAGGCCCTCAGCTCGGGGGGTGTATCCGGCTGCCGGCAGGGGTGAGACACTTGGAAGGCCTCCAAGGTCAGCAGTGACTTGTTGATGCGGCTGATGGTGGGATAGGGCGTGAGATCCACCTTGTACCTGCAACAGAGAAACACCCACCTAAGCCAAGGGCTGCAGAAGAGCAGGGAGATGGCCCTGTGAGTGGTGGGGGAAGCACAGAGGCAGAGCTGGATGAGGTCTCTGGGGCTGGCCAGGAAAGGACTATGAAGGCAGCCCTGCCAGGTGGGGAGGCCTTGTTCACAGGCAGCTCTCTGGGAAGTGGGAGATCTTGGGTGGTATCATCTGGCATCTCTGCTTCCTACTGTTTCTATTCCAGGCCATGGTTATTACAGATCCTGCTATCTGTAAGGCCCAGTGCTGGGCATTTACATATACAGATTATCTCCCCATCCATGTCATAAGCTTCTTGGGGGCAGGGAATGTGTGATGTATGTTCATACCCCTAATGGCGCCTAGCACAATGCCTTCCGCAGGGAGGCTGTCATTCATGTCTCACTGAAGGGCTGATGGAGGAAAGCAGAGGTAGCACTCACTGCCGGGCACAGACACACCACCGTGGGGGACAGCAGGCTCTTGGGGTGGTTTCTTTTAGGGGTGGCCACCAGGTGAGCCACCTTCCCTCAGGAGAAGAGGCTCTGCAGTATCACCTGGGCTGCAGTGAGCATGGAAGGGGCGTTCCACTGACTTCTGCTTGTCTCTTCCAGGCCACACTGGCTGGTGTGGCCTGGCACAGGGGGCACCCTGGCTGGTTGGGAGGGGTCTCTGCATGAGATGCTACCTTAGTAGATGAAGTGGGGGGCCTGACTGTGGGAGGAAGCTGGGTGTTTTGAGGGGAGGAGCTAGGAGGACAAAGGAAGGCCATGGGCCTCTCTCTTACCTGTCAGCATTTGCCACCTGAGGCACTAAGCACAGGTCAGCCATGGACACCTGCAAAGAGAGTCAGGTGGGCCTGCGTCAGGGTGTGCACCCCAGACTCACACTGGTGACAATCTTGGGCTGCTGGCCTGGGTGTTCCCATCTGCTTTTGGCTCATCGACCCCACCCCCACCTCATCTCCCCTGGGCCTGTCTGGGTCTGTCCCCGGAGCTGAAGTGCTTCTCAGGCCGCGCTTCTCAGGCTACTCTTCTGTTGCCCTGACAACCAACTCTGCGGGTAGCTAGAGAAGGCCTGATGGTGGGATAGGGCGAGAGCCAGAGATCGCCTTAATAAATGTTCTGCCCTTGTTAAAAACAACCACAGGCACTTAGTGAGGGCTCCCAGCAGCGGGGGGGCGGGGGATGCCTCTGTGTGGGTGTGGGGGGCTCTGGAACCAGAATTACCACCAGGCCAGGGCCTAGCCTATAGGAGTCAAGGGCACCTGAATCCTAGAATCTTAGCATTGGGAGGGAATGGAGACACCATCTATTTTAATCCCTCATCTGATGGCTGGACCACCTCTTCATCTCAGAGATGAGGTCTTCAGCTTGAATGCTTCTAGGAATGAGAAACTCACTCCCCCTTGAGGCAGCTGACTAGGAAGGAGCTGAGGAGCTGCCCACGAGCTAACCTCTACTTAATCTAGAGAGACCTTGGGTCCCTGGACTCCACCCCCTCCACTGCAGAGGCCTTTTCAGGAAGCTCTCTGGGCCATGCCTGCCCTGGGCTGGAGGGAGGTGGCTGAGTCTAAGAAGAAGACAGTGACAGCTGGAGGTCAGCCTGAGGGAGGAGGCCCTCTGGGCAGGCCTGGGGAGGGCTTACCTCGTCTCCCACACAGTACTTCCCCGCTGTGCTCTGCAGGATCCGCTCCAGAGCTGTGGGGAGGCAACATGAATACTCTTACTCTGGGTACAGAAAGGGGAGATCAGCCTTTCTGCGCCTTCGTGTCCATTGCTATGACATGGGCAGCTCTCTGAGTGCCAGGCTGGAGTGTGTGCTGGAGGGAACATGGCAATCAGATCTGGAGAGAGTTGATCGGGACACGGGGATGAGATGATACCTCCCTGTAATCTTCAAGTTCAGCTGCCATTCCCTCCCCAAGGGGGCAAGACCTGCCACTGGCCAAGGCAGCACCTCTCACACTGCTGGGCTGGCACTTGGCTGGCCTTGTCTCCATGGCTAGAGTGGGCAGTGAAGCAGAGGTTGGGCCATCCAGCTCCAAAGAGCCTCAGTCACTGAGGTTCCCAGAAGTGCCAGAGGTTGAGGCCAGGTTTGGATGCTGCCCATCCCACTGCCTCCTCGGCCCTGCCCCCACCCTCATCCATGCCACTGTCAAGACCAAAGAGCCTGGGAGGCTGTTGCAGATGCCCAGGGCCCTGGGTGTGAGGGCCATTTCTCTGAGAGGTCACCATGGGGCAGTTTGCAGGGGCAAGGACTCACCATTAAATCCAGAACTGATGACCTGCTGGGCCCAGCTCAGCTGCTTCTCCTGTCCCACTTGCTTCAGGACAGACAGGTTCTGTGTAGCCCAAGGGAAAAATCTGGGATGAGCTTTGGGAGCCAGTCTGAGCCCATCCACTCAGCCAATTCCCCTCAGCCAGGCCCAGTTCCCACATGTACACCTGGCTGTACACCTGTCCTGCCCTGGGCCCTGTGAGCTCTTTCATCCCATCTGGGCCCTGAGGTTGAAGGGAGATGGTGATTCTAGCAGCCACTTTCTCAGGCTGCCCCAGTGATCCCTGAAGCTATGACTCTGGCAGAGACGTGTACAGTGGAGGCACAGGACGCTGCCTTGGCTGTGATGGGTGTGGCCACCAGCCGAGGCCTCTTTCCCCTGTATCCAATTCTTCTCCCTGACATGGTCCCTTGTGAGGAAAGGGAAAGCGATACAGGGTTGGGGGCAGGGTTGGGGAGGAGATAGGACTAGCTTTCAGGAGATTTGGACTCTGGTTTCATCCTTGTACCTCTGGAGCCATTTCACTTCTGGGCTTCAGTTTCCTCATCTGTAAAATGGGGATGTCTTTATGCTTCGACCTCCTTTGTTAAAAAAGACAAAGTGACATGGTAGTGGGGGTGGGGGGCACAAGTGCACAGTCAGGGGGCCTGGGCTTAGGTCCTAGCTCTGCCATCCTCAGCGGAGTGACTCTGCAAAGTCACTTTACCTTGCTGGGGCTCTTTCCTTGTTTGCAAAGTCAAGGTTAGCACCTATGAACTGTTTTAACACTTACTTTTTTGTTTCACCTGTGAAAATTTACAATTTTAGGAGAATCCCAATCTATGATACAGAACAGGTGGAAGGGGGGCTGCTCTGGTTAAAGGCAGGAGGCCAGGACCCGTGCTGCTCAGCCTTTCTCTGTCATCTGGCCCTTTCCCCACCTTGGCCACCTCGGGACGTGTCCTCAGACACCTGGGGCTTCTAGGAATGTGGCTGGAGCCCCAGTGGGTGGATGTTTTCTGGGCTCCCTCCTCCCTCTGCCACGTGGTCCAGGGCTACGCCCCTGAGGACCCCCTCTGTCTTCCTGTCACCCCCACCTGCAAGCGGGGCACGTCACCATGGGCTCGCCACAGTCAGCATGCAAGTGTTTGAAGGTGAGCATATGCGAGGGGGCAGGCGCACAGAAGCCACACCTGCAGGGGCTGGATGCCGCTGGCAATGAGGTCAGAGATCATGCGCACGTGGGCCCTTTTCTTTGGGTCCTGAGGCAGGAGTCGCGGAGTGGGCCGGGTCTCTTCTAGGTACTCAATGATGGCCAGCTGTCCGGAGAGTAGTAGTAGGGCAGGGAGGGTCTGGACCCCTGGACCACAGGGGCCTGCAAACTCCTCCTCCCCACCCAGTTCCAGCACCACCACCATCACCCCCTTCCCCTTCCTCCCCACAAACCCTGTAAGGCCAACAGCATCCCGTAGGAGGATGAGCTCATTTTGGGCCCCTACCTACTAGAACTTGGTACCCTGTATACTTGAGTCTCCCTTCACTTCCAACCAACCTTCCTCCCTCCCTTGTCCCCACTAAGAGCTGTTCCTTGGCCAGATGCAGGCAAGGAAGAACCGTGAGGTCCTCTTGGTCAGGGTACCACTCTGACGAGGGGCCTCCCAAAGGCTCCACTCACTGACTGGCCAATAGTGATTCCATCAATCTTCAGGGCTGGCACCTGCTTCATGGGATTCAGGGCCTGGAATTCTTCAGAGAACTGTGGAGACAAGGCCCTGGTGGGCTGGGTGGCCTGGCCTGAGTTGGCTAAAGCAGAATCCAGCAAGGAAGAAGGAAGCCCTCAGGCCTCCTGCCCACTTGCACCTCTCTCCCCTGGGGAAGGCCCTGGCTCTGAGGCCCAGGGTGATACCTGGGGGATCCGTGCAGTAACCCAAACCCCAGTGGCTGCTGAGATACAGGCTTCCTCTTAAGGGCCTGGCTATGTGCTATCTCTGCACTTACATGTGGTCACCACGGCACATCCAGAAGGCCTGGCATGGGGCAAGGACCCAGCCACCACTCACCTTCCTGGAGTCAGACATTGAGAGGCCAGGCTGTGCTACAGAGCCCAGACCCTGAGCCCTCCCCGTGACTCGTCTTGCTGCACAGCTTGCTGCCCTGCCCCACAAGGAAGAGCCAGCAGCCTCCTCCAGCCATGGGGACCATCGGGCACAGGTTCATCTCTTGGGGGCAGAAGTCTGCATCCCCTGCCAGGTCCCTCTCTAACTCTTTCATTGTGGCTTGGGGGTGGCCTCCTTACCTGCTGCCCTCCATCCTTTATGAGGTTGACGGTTACCATCTCATAGTCAATGCTTTTCAAGGCCAGAGCTAGGAGAGATGGCAGACAGCAGGTGGGGGACAGCCTCTGGCCATACTTTCCAGGATGACAAGAGGGAGTGAGGCTTCTCCACACTGCTGTGTGGCCCTGACCCCTTCTTCCCAGCTCCTTTGATCACCACCTACTCCCCTACCTCCAGTCCATGATGCTCTGCTTCTTTTCCTCCTGAACTTTCTGTGTCCTCAGTGGAACCCTCATGCCCCTGGGTATGAGGGTATGTGCCCTGGCACTCTGGGCTCCTGAAGGACAGCAGGGAAGTGTCCCCTTCATCTCTGCCCCCTGTAGGGCCTTACCCAGTGGTAAGTGGGGCTAATTTACTGGAGACATGCAATTATTCCCTGATGAAGGCATCTGAGGGCCAAGGGCAGGGGCTCAGTGACCATGCAGGGCCCACACTCTTCTGTTTAGAGAAGAATCGCTTTCTAATCTGCTCTCTCCGTTCTCAGGGCCATTTACTACAGATTCCAAGCAGGGGCATCAGGGCTCTCTGGTGGTCTCACAGCATTTGCTGTGACCCCCAGTGACCGATTTCCCTTCCATCTCCTTTGATGTTTCCCCTTGGCAAGATGAGGTAAACTGTCAACCCTTGGGGAGGAGATTATGTGTGTGTACATGCACACACCTGTGCATTAAAAGACAGTGATGGCCAGTATCAGGTAAAGGAGCAAGGGGAGGAGGGCAAGCCATGGCATAGTCTGCAGAGAGCCTGGGAGATACGGGGCTCCGCCTCAGCGCTGGTCAGCTCTACCCTGGAGAGTGACAGGGGCCAGGGCCAGATGGGGGAGGCCAAGCATGCAAGCCCTGCAGAGGCAGTGCCCACGCTGCTTGATGCCAGCCAGGGCAGAGGCTCTGGGCCTACGGAAGGCATTGTCTTGGAGGAATGTATCCTCAGGTACCCCAGTGCTCTTGCCTACTGATTCCAGCAAATTTCAAGTGACTGTGAAAGCAGGGAGGGTCATGGAGGATGGCTTCCCAGTCAGGACCAGGCTCTCAGAAGCAGGCTGCCTGGATTCAAATGTCATCACATTCATTTGTTAGCTGTGTGGCCTTGGGTAAGTAACTTCATGAGCCTCTGTGCCAGTTTCTTCAGCTGACAGGCTGCACAGTGCAGTAAAGAACATGGACTCTGGAGCTAGACTAGCTGGTTCAATTCCAGCTCTGCCTCGGACCAGCTGCATGATCTTAGGCACGTTATTTAACCTCCCTGTGCCCCAGTTTCTGCACTTGTACAATAGTGACAATAATAGTACTTCCCTCCTAGGGTTGCTGAGGTTTAAAGGGAATCATGCACACAAAAGCACTCAGCATAGTTCTCCCTTTGTATGAGCTGCTATGACTCTGACTTTGCCAAGGGCTGTGTTACGCTGAGGGAGAGAAGGGTCAAACTAGGACTAAACCAGAGCGCCCCAGTTTTTCCTTCCCTGAAGCCTCTGGGGTTGACACTGGCCAGTTCTGTTTAATTTGCCAGATCAAATAAGATAAGAACTGAGGAAGGCCAGCTGTTCCCTGTCCGTTACCAAGGACCTCTGGATTCTGTGAGCCTGTCTGAAGCATGGTTGCTAAGGAGCTTTGGAGAGCAGTGCCGGAGAGGTGGTGGGCCCAAGAGAAAAAATAACTTTCCTTCCTCTCTCTCACCCTGGACTTCTGAGGTGGAGGTGCCATTCAAGGCTGAGGGCTCTAGGAGGCCGGGGAAGATGCTGGTTGCTGGGGGTGGTACCCTGTTTGACAGATGTTAGCTTTTCACCCAGGCCTTCTTCCACCCCATTCCACCCCACCCAGGCTCTCAGAGGAAGCACAGCTCTTACCTATTCGAACTCTCCATGAGCAGGAGCTTCGGAAATAGGAATAGAGGATGGGCTGAGGAGAGAGGACGAGGATGCACATTAACCTGTGTTTGGTGGGTTCTCAGCCCCAGGAGCCCACTGGAGGGGAGGAAACAGCTCCCAGTCAGGGGGCTCCAAGCCAGCGCTGTTTCTTCCTAGCCCGCTAAGCTTCCTTCCTCAGGCCTCTGTCTGAGAAAATCAGGCCAGACTCAGAGCTCTCTGGGTCAAAGGCCTTGGGAGTCATGTGGGGTCCCTTGGCTCTGAACTGTGCTGTCATGCATTCCTGAGGTCCTAGGGACCCCCCCCCCAAAAGGGGCCACCAGCCTGCAAGAGCCTTCCTTACCTTGCTAGACTCAGTCATGGTCCGTGGTGACCCTTGGCCTCTCAGGGAACGACCCCTCTCACAGAGTTGCAGGGTAGGGGGAGGAACCCTGAAGGGGGTGGATCCCATGAACCAATGGGGAAGTTGGGCTAATCAGGTGTCAGGGGGACTTTGACTCTGGTCAGAAAGGGCATCTCTTTCCAACTTGTGGAAAACTTTTTATGTTCCTGGTGGAGCCAGGTTTGGTGTCCTGGGCAGACAGGAAAGCCTGGTTTTGAACCAGTAGTTCATGTGGTGCAGTGGGCTGGGAGCTGGCATCCCTAGGGTCTGGTCCCAGTGCAGCAACTAACTTGCATGACTGGGGACAATCCCTGCCTCCTCTAGTCTTTGGCTCTCTCATCTGTAAAACAAAGGTTTGCCCTAAAACGATAGCTTACTTTCTTCCAAAAGTGGCAGAAAGGCCAGGAATCTAATCTTCTGATGCTTTGGTGCCCAACTCTTTCAACATTCCACCAGAGTCTCAGCTGGTCTCATAAAAGTAGCTGGGGAATATGCCCATTGGCTCCAAAGTTGAGGTCATAAGCTGGCAACCCACAGTGTTCTGTATGGTCTACAACATCTTTCAAAATGTTTTCATTAGTTGCTAACATTAAAAATCACAATGTTTCATATATAAATCCTGTTGTCTGTTTTTTTCTGTTAAAAATCTGGAGATAGTAGACTCAGTTCCTGATTGGCAACAATTGATTAGAGCCTTAATGGCCCCCTTTAGTCAGGGTATGCCCTCTCAGATCTGCCCACTTCTCTCATTTTTGTTACCTTGAGGCCCTGGAGGCAGCTGGGTGTATGACCTCTCCTCTAAAGTTTAGGGGACTCAAAGTTAATTTCTCTGGTGCTTCCTGGTAACCAGCACTTCAAAGCAGAACCCAAGACAGAGTTACCAGTAATCAGCACTCATGAATCTTCCAGCAGATACATAGTTATCCTTATGGATGAATAACTCCATAGAATTTCTTAGATCACCCCTGTCTACCATCCCTCTGACTACAGACATTTCACCCAAGTCCCCTCTCCCTTCTGCACCCCTAGTACACCAAGCTGCTATCTGACTCTGCTTTCACCAACTCTGACTTCTATGTGGGCAGGGGCACAAGTGGGAACCCAGGTCCTCCTAAGTTGGTTCCTGAACCTAAGAATTCCAGTCTATACCGAAGGCAACTTTTGTAGGGAAAGTGAAGGCAGTTCTGGCACAGAGGGCAAGTGATAGGCAGCAGATTTCCTTGGAAGGAGAGTTGGGAGGTCACAATTAGATATACACTGTTCCGAGGTAAATCCTTTTCCTTACCTGGTTAGGACGGATGGGCCCCTAGGGTCAAGAGGCAGCGGCTGCTTATAAAGAATGGGACCACTAGAGAGTCGCAGAGATTAGCTTAGGATCCTTGAAGAAATACCTTACCTAATAACCTCACCTTTGACTTGTACTAAGGGTCACCACAGAATCACTGTAAATGCCACTGCCTCCAGGTTTCCTACATAGGGGCCATCAGAAGATGTAACGGAGGGCAGTTTCTGCTCTTTCTCTTACCAACCAATGATAACTTATAAACCATCCCATGTTCCTTTTTGCATTTGTAGAGCTAAATTTTAAGCTCAAAGTAACTATTTCATCACCACTCCTGGAGGAATTTTGTTTCCAATTCAAATATGGATTCTGATCAGTCTAGCAGATTTTATTTTTAAACCATCTCTTACACATGATTTTAGAGAAAGACTCCTACAGTTCCCTTTAGGCGTGGGGGTGGGGTAGGCTATACATAGTTAAATCAATGCTATATCCCACCTGATGTGCCTGCCACTTTTCTTTGAGCTACAGTAGTGGTTCCCAAACTTTAATGATTCAACTGGGGCTTTTATTAAACACGGATTCTCAGGCCCCTTTCACAAGAAATTGATACAGTGGTTCTGGGGCGGGCCTGGAAAATGCATATTAAAACCGGTAAGTTCCTCAAGTGACTGTGATGACTAAAAGTACCACTGCTTCCCCTCGCCCCTGGTGCTCTCTCAGAAATGCGAACAACCCTGGAAGGCCACAGGTTAGCTGTTTGAACCTGTTCAGGTGATTGGAAGGGGAGCACGCAGGACCGTACGGAAGAGGAAAACGAGGGAGGACGTTTGGAAGACCTAGCAGATTGGGTGCTAGGGGAGAGACAGGTGAAGCGCGACGGTACAGCGACCAAACCAAGCCCAGCATGCCCAACGAGAACTCGTCCTTCCTGGCCCAAGCCTCGCTGAACCACAGGCCCCAGCGGTCAGCGCGCAGGCGCAGAGCGGGAGCGATGGGGCGCGTGCAGCGCGGCGCACTGCATGCTGGGAATCGTTGTGGGAGCTGTGAGCGGGGCCGAGCGGCTCACCTTTGACCCCGCCCCCTAGGGTTTCTCACTGTTTCTAAGAAGCGCCCCTCTCCCCAGATGCGCAGCACAGACCTTCCCCGCTTGCATCTCGCACTTCGGGCGACCCCTCTTCCAGGCCAGGAAACTTCGCCCTTGCGACTCTCCCACTCTTCGAGGATTCAGGCCCAGTGAGACCCCGACACGTCAGAACTTAGGTTTTCGCCTTGGTAAAGTGAAGGGTTGGATAGAATGAGCTTTAAGGTCTCGTTTAGCGTGCCCCGCCCTGCAGCCACGCCCCACTCCCGGCGCTGCTGGGAATTGCAGTTCCTTGAGCCTGTTTCCTCCCGGGCCCGGCCAGCCCGGCCCTCGCGGTCCGTCATGCTCCGCGCCACTAGCCGCCTCCCAGCGGCCCGGGCGGCGACCACGCTCCCCGCCCAGCCCAGAGGCCGGCGCCCGGCGCCCCGCCGCCGGCGCAAAGAACTACATTTCCCAGGGCACCCCGAGCTGCCCCTTGGTGACTTCTTGGCGGGGCGGCTTGCAAGACCCAGAGTGCCTGCGGGCCGGAGGGCCATCCTGAGGAGGGGAAGGATGCCGCCGGCGGTGGGCAGAGGACTGGCAGGGTCCGAGCTGCGTCCCCGGAGGGGCCGCTGTGGGTCCCAGGCTGCTAGAGCTGTGGGCCCGGACGTGGCCGCCGAGGCTACAGCGCGGAGCCCCAAACGGCCTGCTCCAGGCTCGCGGCGCTTCGAGGCGGCAGGCCGGTGGGCTCTGCTGGCCCTGGTGACGCTGATGTCCTTCGCCACCCGCTTCCACCGTCTGGACGAGCCGCCGCACGTCTGGTGAGTGATGGGAGGGATTCGGCAGGCACCATGGCAACTGGGAGGGAGGGGCGCACCTTCTCATTGGTCCGGAGGCATGGAGGGGGCGGGATTCATAGGCGGAGGGGCGGGGCCTCGCTGGGAGTCGTTGGGGAAACTGAGGTTTCTGATGATTGACTCTGGCCAGGTGCAGTCTCTGAAAGGAATAGTTTTTGCTCCGGTGGGTGGCAGGGGAATTCCTTAGGATCTGAGGAAGCAGTCTTCATGTCTTGCTAGTTATGCTACAGTGTCTCACTGACTCAAATTGTGGCTTTTAAAGGTGCTGTGGCCTTTCCCAGGAGAATTGGAAATTCTTAGTACAGAATTTCCTAAAACCTGAGTTCCTAATCTGCAGGATTTCCAGGCATCAGTGGAGGGGAGCATTCCTAACTGGATACCTCATTCTCGGGAAGCAGGTCGGGGGTCATCCTGTGAGGAGAGACATATTTTCTTAAAGGTTTTATTTTGCAGGAGTCAAATTTAATTAAATAAACTTAAAACGTCTCCAGCTAGAAGGAAGAAAACTTTTATACAGCCTGAAAATGGTTAATTTGTTTGGCCAAGAAGTTATACCATGTATTCTCAGTATCACTGAGGAGAAAGTTTGTGTAAGAGTTGTTAGAAGTGGAACTCCTTGATTGAAAACCAAGTAAGCAAGCTAACAAGCTATCAGGGTTAGTTAATCAGTTAGTTTGTAATTATTTCATGAGGGCTGGCAGAAGATACAAGACTCCTGGGTCAGAGTCAAAGGACTTATTACTAATAGCACAAGAAGCAGGATGAACAGCCGCATATTGGATTCAGTTTCTCATGACCCCGAAGTCCCACAGGGTGAAGCTGTGGGCTCAGATTGATGACTGTGCAATGACTGCACACAGTAGGTTGCCTTGCAGCAGGATGAGACCAACTTGTTTTGACTGTGCTGTCCAGGGTCCTGAATCCAGCCACCTGTGAATAATTTTATGTGTGGAGGGGTGTGGTGGAGGGGGACGGGCTGGGAGAAAAGACCAGTAAATCTTATTTCATAGAGCTGGAGTGTAGTCTAAGGCCAATCTATTTACATTGTAATCTGTAGACAGGTGTTTTGACTGATCTTTGATGTTTGGTGTCATTGCCAATAATTACGAGTTCCCCCATTAGAAAAAAAAAAGCAACTCCCATGCCTAATGGAAAGACATTCCATGGCCCATTCTTCCCTGCATTCTAACATATTATCTGAAGAAGTGCAGGTCACTCTAGTTCAGAATATTTTGTTAAATTTTATTTGGGTCGCCATCGATGTGATGTAGCTCTCCATTACAGTGGTTTTGTTAAGCTACATGGGCAGTGTCACTGAACAGTTGCAGCCTCAGTCACTATACAAGGCATAACCTAAGGCCCCAGAGTGTCAGGAGAAGAATATGAATTTGTATCAGTCAGTTTGATAGAAGGTTGTGCCAGTCTGTGTGTTTGTACACATGTGAAGGAAGTCCATGTTTGGGAGTTAATGTTGGTGACATCAGGTACATAAGGATGGTTCAAGACCGGCCATGTCCATGAGTTTTTCTGATCTCATAGTGGGATGACACACTCAACAACAGGTAAGATTGCTAGCTATCACTGCCACTGGACTTAATTGTACCATATTAGTGTTTTGCCAGGCTGGGTGCTGGGCCTAGGGGACAAAGAGAGCATTAATTGTTCCCCTCTGTTTACATTTCCAGGGCCCTAAGATGTTCTTTCCCCAGGTGGCAGGGTTGTTTCTTTCCTCCCATTGCCATATAATCTGTGGGTCCCACTCTATTACCTGTAACTTCACCTTTACTCCGGTTATCGCCTACTAATATCCAGACCTTTCTGCCAAGGGCATTGCCAGAAAATTGACAAAGACTCATTTTGCCTCCCATCTTGGCTCATGTGAGCCACTGTAGATGGACTTTACAAGTAGTATACCCAACCAAGCGATCTTTATGCTCTAAAACTATGTCATTCCAACAAGAAAATCAGGTGACTGAACTAGAATTAAGTTTTAATCCCATAAACTCCCACCCCAACCGCCAAGCTGATCTGGAGTTGCAGTTAGGGGAAAGAAAGACAAATAAAGCCCAGGAATAGTCAGGGGAGAAGCTCAAAATTTCAAAATAGGTTTTTTTTTATAATAATCGACCACCCCTTTTGTCTTGATTATTACCTACTTGGTGGCCATGAGAAGAGGAACCGTTTCTAGTTAGGTGATCAAACTACTCGACTAAGATGTGTGAACCAGGAGGAGGTGAGGGAAATAGAGTCAGAAATATTTTTGATAAGACAATTCAGTGCTTGGCAGTATCAGATGCCTGTGGATGGTAGAGAGTATGGAGTGTCATCAGATACCTTGACTATTGGTCCATTATTGG